GGACTTTAAAAGATAAAACTTCTACTTATAAAATGAATTAATTACATTGTATGGGGTTGAAACGACTGTACATGTATTTCCGTGCCAAAGCGATTCTAAGTAAAATAGCGTTTTATTCAGATTCTACTGCAAAATATTCTATATTTATGTGCCTTTTTATTCTTTTATGACAATTATTTTAGCTAACTTCTTCATGTTTCTAGACATTTCCCAGCCATGATTATACTCGGTCAAGATGTTAAAAAAAGGCATTCAAATTATTTGTTATACATGCGTAGATTAAATTTTCAAAACTAAATAAGTAATGCGTTGTCATAATTTTTATTGAACAGAGAAATGTACGAGAGAGAGAGGGAGAGAGACAGTAAGAGAGAGAGATAACCTCCTTGATTCTCAGATATATATTCTCTCAAATTAAAATTCTTATTATTCGTCCTAAATATTCCAAGCAATGAAGGTAATCTTTTTTTTTTAGATTAACAAATCCATTTGACCCTAATCATTGGCTTTTATTTTCCATCATCAATTTCACACAGTTCACAGGAAGTCCGTGCTACTTTTGTAGTAGCATGCTTGTGCTGTCAATCAAAATGATTCGACACAGTAGAGATGTTAAAATCGCGTTTCACTGAACATGCCGAAGGCAAAAAGTCACTTAGTGTTACAAGAAATTTTAGTATTTTTATCTATGATTTCTAAATCTGATTTTTGCATTCCTGCAGAAAAAAATAATTCGAATATATACTTGGAAAAATTAAATTGAATGTGAAACATATTCCCTGCCAATTTAAAATACTTCTTTTGGCACAAGTTTATACTAAAATACTATTGTTTAATGACTGTTTGATGTTGGTTTTAAGACTGATTTTCTTATGCTACAATGAAAATAATTATAAATTAAAATATACTGTAAAAACTCAATAAGAATTTTATTTTAGGGAAAAAAGGCACCGGGGGGGGGGGGTGGTTGAAATTATACTGAATGGCAAGAAACATTATTTTTAAACATATGTTTAGGTACGGTGAAGGAAGGAATTTTCCTTCTCTGATAATAGACTAACAGTTGTTTTTTTCCAAAATTTAAAACCACACCATCAATTTAATTATCTCTAAAGATATTTAACTAACTGAATATTTGCAGTACTGTTCGTAATTCTCAAACCTATATGTAGCTTAAATACGTGCTACTGAAGTAATAATTTTTTATGTATTCTTGTTCTGTAATAGACTTGGATTAATTATTATACATCCATTAATAATTTGTCCTCTTTAACATTACATAAAATTGATGCCGTGCATGCAACATTTGTACATTGCCCTTTTTTTAAGTTAATATTTTAGCATCGTTCTACATACATGTAGGTACTTAGCGTATTAATTATTTTCCAGGGAAAATTCATGAAACAAGTAACAGCTGAGTTATAATAATAGAAATATAAATATCATAGATAATTTTTGCAATGCAATAATTATTTTTCAAAGGAATATCTAAGTTATTAATTAAAAAAACATGTAAGTCCTTATCATCAAAAAGATAAGCCCTTTCACTTCGGAGTTCCGAATGACAATGAAGACTGAACAATAAGTGAACGGTGAACGCAAGGTGAATGCAAAGAAAACGGAACGAAGAGCGAACAGTGAAGGTTTTGTGATCGGTGAAAGCAAGCGCACGGTGAACGGTGAATGCAATACTGTGAACAAAGATTTAACGGTGAACACACGCTGAACGAACGGTGAGCCAACGGAAAAATGGGAAAGTAGAACGTTTCAGGGACTGTATCATCCGATGCACTATAGAAAAAAAATTTGAGCAAAAAATACTTTGAATATGTTTTATATATTTTCCTAGGTTGGTAAATAAGGTGTTGGTGGAGTGGTAGTACCTTTGCTTTACACTGTTCTATTATACACAACACACTCAATATTCAACCTTAACACATATATTTTCAACCTTGACACATATATACATTTGTACAAATGACTTTGTACAAGTTGTTTTCTTTATTTCATTTCAAATTTTTATCCCTCTTTCTCTCACAGCAACACATTAACATACACTACTCCAGAAATATTCACTTTTCATTTAGCATAAACTGAATTAATTACCCAATAGCACTGAACCTCCAAATTTATATAAGATACAACTGTATGTAAAGCTAAACTCCACTTTAAAATACAACAGTTTTACAACCAAGCTTCTCGACAACATAGCATCTAATCAAAAATTTTTTAAATTTTCTCATTAAAGAAAGCATCATTACATAAAGCATTAGAAGTTGTGCAAACATCCTTTGCATTAAAATTCTTAACTAACCATAAGAACATTAAATACTAACATCCTTATCATCCAATGCACTACAGAAAAGAAAACTGAGCATGAATTACCCTGAGTTTCTTTAATATTTTTCAGAGGTTGGTAAGTAAGGTGTTGGTGGAGTGGTAGTACCTTTGTTTTACACTGGTCCACACGCCACACTCAATTTTCAACCTCTGCCAAAATTTAGATACAAATGATACTATATCATTTTTATTCCTTGCTTGACTCCACAATATATTTTACTTATTCTCGCATCACAGCAATATATTCTACTTATTCTCACACCACAGCATTTTCAACCTCTGCCAAAACTTAGATACAAATGACACCATATCATTTTTTTCCTTGTTTGACTCAAAATATATTCTATTTATTCTCGCATCACAGCAACATTTTCTACTTATTCTCACACCACAACATTTTTAACCTCTGCCAAAACTTAGATACAAATGACATTATATCATTTTTTTTCCTTGTTTGAGTCCACAATATATTCTACTTATTCTCGCATCACAGCATTATATTCTACTTATTCTCACACCACAGCATTTTAAACCTCTGCCAAAACTTAGATACAAATGACACTATATCATTTTTATTCCTTGTTTGACGCCACAATATATTCTTCTTATTCTCACACCACAACATGTAAAGCTTACTACACCATGAATATAAACTTACCTTAATATTAAGCAAATGTTTAAAAATGGTTTACACCACTATATAATCTTTAGAATTGAAAACAATAGAAGATCAAACCAACATATTTTTTATTTTTCATTTTTCTCGTTTTAAAACAAGCCACCTCACAAAAATCAATAGACACTTTTGTTAATATAATTTACACAGCAGATATAAAGTTACCATTCAAACTTTTACTTCTTACATCCTTATCATCCGATGCACTATAGAAAAGAAATTTGAGCAAGAAATTCTTTGAATATGTTTTATATATTTTCCTAGGTTGGTAAATAAGGTGTTGGTGGAGTGGTATTTTTTTTTTTTTTTTTTTTTTTTTTTGCACTGGTCCACACATCACACTCAATTTTCAACCTTGACACATATATACAAATGACATTGTACAAGTTGTTTTCTTTATTTCATTTCAAATTTGTATCCCTCTTTCTCTCACAGCAACACATTAACATACACTAATCCAGAAATATTCACTTTTCATTTAGCATAAACTGAATTAATAACCCAATCGCAATCTACTTATAAAATGAATTAATTACATTGTATGGGGTTGAAACGACTGTACATGTATTTCCATGCCAAAGCGATTCTAAGTAAAATAGCGTTTTATTCAGATTCTACTGCAAAATATTCTATATTTATGTGCCTTTTTATTCTTTTATGACAATTATTTTAGCTAACTTCTTCATGTATCTAGACATTTCCCAGCCATGATTATACTCGGTCAAGATGTTAAAAAAAGGCATTCAAATTATTTGTTATACATGCGTAGATTAAATTTTCAAATCAAGACCCCCAGGGGTAGGGTGGGGTCAAAATTGCTGATCAAAATTTTTCTTAGGAAAATATATGGAAGTCTTTTTGTTAAACCATCTTCTTGAATACTTCAAAGCCATGATTAGCATGATTACATTCAGTTCTTTTTTCTATGTTCAAGTGAGCGAAATGGCCCTCTGGCTTCTTGTTGATATTCATCAACCATTTAATATGATGAAATAAAATTTATAACAAAATTTTCAAAATTTTGAAATATGTGTCCGCAGGGTTGGATGTTCCTGTGGGTAGGGGCGCATATTTGGTTATAGAGTGGAAATGCATTTTCTCTTTATTACTTTGATCTACCTCTGGGTATTGAGTAACCAAAGTAATCAAGCTAAGTGAATAGTTATGATAAGCAAGAGTGCCTCTTTCAAAATTTTGAAATGTTATGGCCTTTGATTTAAAACGAGAACCATTTCAACTGTTGGAAAGCTGTTACATGATACTCAGGTGACCTATAAGGCCTGTGGGCCTCTTGTTTAACTTCTATGGTCAATATATTATGACTTTGTCAGGAAATAAAATCCATCACTAAGTTGATGCTAGCTACATGTACAGTTTTCATATTCATTATAACTGTAAGGCCATTATTTCGACACAGATTAACACATTTTCCTGTTATTTCAAATCATAGCAGCTGTGAACGATCGGGATAGTCACATCTCAGTGGCACTTAATCAGACCCTTATTTGTGATCTGTGTTTGCTCTGCCCATAATTCGTATTGTTTGTATGGACTTTTAAGCTCGAATAATTTTTTTATCTGCATAATTTATTATATTTTATACACGTGACATTGTGTCATTTCTTTTCTTTTTGGCTCCACAATATGTGGTACCTAATCTCACTCTTCACATATATAAAACATACATGTACAATAGATTTTACATTATTTACAATAGAAATCTTAAATTTCAGACATATATAATGAACACACTTAAATACAAAGAAAACTCCTGTTCACTTTAATGGACACCATATTGCATCTTTTTTCATTGTATTATTATTATTACTATTATTGTGATTCGTACAAAATTCAAACCTGTTAACAAGACCTCATGCAATTACATTTTTTCAAAAATATTCTTCATAAAAACAAACCATCACATTTATCAGTTAAGAATTTAATTTTTAAATAAATATTATTCTAACCATGTTTACAAAAGACATTGAAAGAAAATAAACATCAGTGATATACTCTAAGTACAACATAAAAAGTACTTAACCCATTAGATCTTCCCTTTGAAGAATGCAGAAAGGACACAAAACACCATTCTTGTCTATTCAAGAAGGTAAAAGTTTTGCAACAGGACACAGGAATTTTTGCCAACATAGCAATCTGGAGGCTTTGAATACATTTGAAAGACAGATCATTCCCAGCAGTAAGATTTCTTTCATAAGAAATGTAGTTTTGAATTGATGTCAATTTAGGATAAGCTTAATTTGAATTATTATTTAGAAATACAATATCATTAGCTCACCTGAGCTGAAGACACAAGTGAGCTTTTTTGATGACAATTTGTCTGTCGTATATATATATATATATTATATTTCTGACTGGATTGCCGTCTGTAAACTTTTCACAGTTTTGACCTCTTCTCTAGGCCAATTTTAACCAAACTTGGTACAAAACATTTTTGGTTGGAGGGGAGTTTATAAATGTATTAAAATGAAGGGCCAAGTCCCCTTACAAGGGGAGATAATCAAGAAAAGAAAAAAATAGGCTGGGGTCATTAAAAATCTTCTTTTCAGTAACAACTAAGGTGGAAGAATTGGGGTAGTATAGATTCTAAATTGTTCATATTATGACCACACCCAAAGAAATATATAGGAAAATAACTTTTTTCAAAATCATCTGTTCAAGAGCCACTTGACCACAAAAGCTGAAACTTGTGTTGAAGCATACTGGGATAGTGTATAGTCATTATCAGTTATATTGTACAAATCATGAACCCCAGGGTTTGTTCAGGGATGTAATAGGGAACCCAAGTTTTACATTCAAATATATGATTTTTTTTATCTTCTTCTCAGGAACTACAGAAAAGCTGGAACTTATGTGAAAGCACCCTCTCACTGGGTAGTGTAGATTTAAAATTGTTCAAATTATAACCCAACCCATGGAGTAGGGAGGGTTGACAATAGGTATTACAAGGGGGGAAATCTGGTAAAGTAGTGCATGGTCAAAGCTACTCAGGTGAGCAATGTGGCCCATGGGCCTCTTGTTTTAATAGTTTTATTATAACCCCCACTTGAAAAGTGGTAGGGTATATAGTGATTGGGAGTTCCATCCGTCCGTCCGTCTGTTACGCCTTTTCTCTTATCCGCAACTCCTCTTATACTACTGAGTGAAATTTAATAACTTTCACAGAATCTTTATTACATATTGCCATTGTGCACCTCCTATTTTATTTTTTTTAATTCGACACATATTTTAGGTTTCCCAGAGCAAAACATGGACATTGCCATTTTTTGTTTACCTATGACGTCACATAATAGAAGCTTCTGGATAACATTTTATAGGACGAGTTACTGTAAACGTGGTTATATTGACGTGTTGAAAAATTGACGATTTTTTGTTTACGAAAATTGACGAGTGTTAATTTTGACGAAATATTTAATCAAGAGTTTCAAATCTTTGAATTCACAGGGATACAAACGCAGCGTCGGAATCACTAAAATTTAATTTTTGTACAAACTATCTACGTGTGTAAATTTTGATAAAATAAATTGCCTTCTTGTTATTTGATTTCATTATAAGCGGTCAAATGCCTGAGGTGACAGCACGGCATGATAATTAGGCTAAATTACGCTTGCAGTATTTGATACACCAATTTAGATTCAATGGTTTTTAAAAATGTGATTTTATATCACTATGTTTTCATAACTAATTACAAAAGATATTAACAGTGATTTTGATCTCGTTGTCAAACGAAAAAGCCGTTAAAAATTTAGCGGTAAAGTTGTACAATGGTCAATGTCTGTTGTGTCTCTATGCATATGATAAGAAGTTTGACGAGTGTAAATTTTGACGAGAAAAAAAGAATCGTTAATATACTCAAAATTAGCACATCGTCAAAATTTCCATGTTTACAGTATTTCTCTTTACACATTACCATAAAACAATATAAATCAACACATCGACATTATGGGAGGCCGGGGGTATCATTTACTGAGCTTATTGCTCACAGTACCTCTAGTTTGGATATGAAAGAAGTTTAGTCGCTTGATCATATTCTAAAATGCCTGAAGATCCTTAGAGTAGGTTAAAGTTTTATGTCTTATATCTCTTGTTTATTTATGTTACAAGGAAAATTAGAATGGAAAAAAAACGTACTTATGAAATCATGTTAATTAAGGTAGGTCGCGGGTTTACTGCATAAAAATTCTTACGAGAAAACATACCCTGAAAATTTGATATAATGTTCCTTAGAATTTACAGCGTATTATCTGCAATTTTTATTAAGTTTGCCTACGTAGTTTTAATGCCATAGTACCGTAAACGCGGTATGGTTTTTAATACTTTTTTACGCTTTGCTATTGACTTTTAGCAGCTTAATAACACTTACAATATAAATTAGTTCTTTCATTTGGTATTGTATTTAATTTGTCCAAGACATTACATATAATCACATCAGAATTCAGACTGAAATACCTCGTATTATAAAACATTACGAGGTTTACGTACAATACAATGCACTTTGTATTTATCAATCTGCTTGATTCATTAAACTTGAAGTTATTTGCGGAGAATAAAACGGGAAACAACGTAACGTTGTCTTTGTGACGTAACTGACGTCATAATCAAATGTGCACAAAACAACCGATCGAATCGTCGAAATTGTGTACCAAAACTGATGACAAAAGCAAACCCGCGACCTACCTTAAGTCACAATCAGAACTTTTCAAATGGCTGTTGCAGTTTGCCTTCCATACACGAAAAAGTCTGAACATGACTATGTCTAGCTGCATGTCATTAAAAATTGAATTTTAATTCAATTAGTACATGTATTGTCATGTAAGGAAATATATTGGGACATGTAAATTAACACAAATGTATGTGTAGAAATGGAATTCAGACTATAAAAGAAAAGATGTAAATACTTGCTGTAAATTGTTTCAGAAAAGGACAGGGTGTGAAATGTTGGCCAATCAACAATCTGGAGACTTTGAAGTTTTTATTTTCTAAGGTAAGATTTGTTTTATTAAGATATAAAATACTTGTGGATTTGATGCTTTTTAATGATTTGAAACATGCTGAGAAATATTTGTTGGAATTGTAGTAACCCACCATACCTACCATAAATGGACAAAGAAGATTATAATTAACCACCATTAAATCCATGGACATCAAAAAATGCGGTATTCTTTTAACTCATCTTATTTTTAGCTCTACTTGTCAGAGACCAGAAGAGCTTTTGCGATAGTAATGCGTCCGTCCGTCTGTCTGGCAGTCTAGCTGTCTCTCTGTCTGTCCGTCTGTAAACAATTATTCAAAACGCTACTCCTCCTACAGTTTTGGTCTGATTTAAATATAACTTGGCACACAATAAGACTACGCTAAGATACATAAAGTAGTGCATTGGTTTTTGATTTTGATGAACGCTCTTGCCATGGTTACTAAAGATAGAATTTTCTGTGAAATTCCTTTGAAATACTACTCCTTCTACAGTTTTGATCTGGTTTCAGTTTAACTTGGCACACAAGTACAATACACTAAAATACATAAAATAGAGCATCGGATTTTGATTTTGAGGAACGATGTTGCCATGGTTACCAAAAATAGTATTTTCTGTGAAATTCCTTAAAAATGCTACTCCTTCTACAGTTTTGATCTGATTTCAATATTACTTGGCATACAAGTAAACTACACTAAGATAATAATAAGATAATAATAAGATAATAATAAGATAATAATAAGATAATACATTGTTTTTTTTATTTCAATGAACGATGTTACTAAAAATACAAATTTTTTTTTAATTCCTTTGAAACACTACTCCTCCTACAGATTTGATCTGATTTCAATTTTACTTAGCACACAAGTAGTCTACACTAAGATACATAATATAGTGCATCAGTTTTTGATTTTAATGAACGATATTGCCATGGTTACTTAAAATAAAATTTTTCTGTTCAATTCCTTCAAAACGCTACTTCTTATACAGTTATCCCGTGGGGATCCGGGTTAGAATAGGTCCTCAGTACCCCCTTGCTTGTCATAAGAGGCGACTAAATGGGGCGGTCCTTCGGATGAGACCGTATAAACCGAGGCCCCGTGTCACAGCATGTGTGGCACGATAAAGACCCCTCCCTGCTCAATGGCCCTGAGTGCCGAGCATAGGCCCAAATTCGCAGCCCTTCACCGGCAATGGTGACGTCTCCATATCAGTGAAATAATCTGGAGAGGGACGTTAAACAATAAACAATCAATCAATCTTATACAGTTTTGGTCTGATTTCAATATTACTGCACACACAGGTAAACTATACTAAGATACATAAAGAAGTGAACCAGATTTTGATTTTGATAAAAGGTGTTGCCATGGTTACTAAAAATAGAATTTTCTGTGATATTCCTTTAAAACGCTACTCCTACAATTTTGGTCTGATTTCAATATAACTTAGTAAACAAGTAGACTATGAAACATAAAATAGTGCATTGGTTTTTGATTTCGATGAACAGTGTTGCCATTGTTACTAAAAATAGAAATGTCTGTGAAATTCCTTTAAAATGCTAGTCCTTCTACAATTTTGGTCTGATGGCAATGGCTTCTTTTCTCATCCTTTGTAATAAGTACAAACCAGTAGAGCTACAGTCTCGACAGAGACTTCTGGTCGACTAAGTTATGCCCCTTGGACTTAGAAAAATTTAATTATTTGCAATTTCAATTCATTTTCTTTGCAACCGTTGAACATACTGATATGAAATTTAATATACAGATTTATCAGAGGTATATTTAGGTCAAGTTCTGTTTTGGGTACAATCACACCATTTTTGACAGTTATACCCCTTAAACTTAGAAAAATTCTAATTATTTGCAGTTTCCTTTCATGTTCTTCACAACCGTTGCACATACTGAAATGAAATTTAGTATACAGATTTATCAGAGGTATATCTAGGTCAAGTTCTGTTTTGGGTACATTGGATCTGCACCTGTATTGGATTTTCTTTATATATTTCCTACAATGCATGTGCTTGATTCGGTATAATGTACAATAAACAAATATTATTGCATGAATGTTCGGGAGACATGAATATTTCTTCATCAGTGAAAAATCATATTCCCCTCGGGTGTTTTCCACGGGGAATATGATATTTCATGGGCGAAAAAATCTTCATATCTCCCTCGCTTTCATGCAATAATTGTATACTATATTCACTCACCAGGGGACACAACTGGAATGGGAACCAGAAATTAACGGATAATATACAATGGACCTCAAGGAAAGAAAACATAAAAACTGTTGGTATTGAGTTATTACAGTGTATGTGACATTAACAAAATGTATTTAGTATAGTTTAATTAACTTTAGTTTATAGTTATTGCTTGTAGACTAGAACATCAATACATTATATGTGAACTGTTTAGAAAAAGTATTTTTTCATCACATGAAAAAGTACATGTACACTTTAAGTGTACAACATTATAATGATTTTTTTTTGTAAAATCAATAACAAAGCTGCCAACAATATTACATTTTTGAAAAAACTTAAAAGTTACTTCAATTCAATTAGAAATAAGTTTGAGGGGTTTTCTATCAACAAGGTGAATTTCTTCTAAATTTGGCCAGCATACATCCTCTCTCAAAAACACAAGTGGAAAATTGAACCCCCAAGTTGAAGAATCTTCATAATCATCATCCTCTACTATTTGGATTGGTCCACTGTATAATGTTGAATATTTTTCAATGTTTGAGGCAATCCTAGAATTATTAGAATATTTTGCCCAAATTCTTAAAAACTCAAAAGCCTCAAGATTTCTTGCTACACATTTGCCCCGCCCAAGGAAAATTTCTTCCACTATCTATCACCCATTTAATGGCTCCTATTGTGTTCCATAAACATTTTTTGTTTCCAAGATTGCGCCAGTGAGAGCATACTACTTTGATGGAATGTACAATATCGTAAAATGCCAGGTAGGAAAATACACATGTATCATCAAAAGAACTTCATCAGGTAAATCAGATATTCCGGCTGGCATTTTGGTTGAAAAATAAAGATATCATTAAACAGTTTTCAAAAAATTGATTTTTTCTTTTTACAAAAAAAATGTGATAAAAACCGAATGTCTGTTTGCCCTCTACTGACTCAGGGTAGATTAAATTGGATTGGTTGTTAGCAGAATTTTTTTTCCTGAAAAATTTAATGTAAGTTTGTAACACACTGACTGTTGATGGGATGAAAAAATCAAGGAATAAGAACTTGTTTATTGAATGTGGAATGTTAAAAAAAGATTTTAGTCAGTCCATTCTGAGCAAGTTGGTCTGGAGAGGGCAAACAAATATTTATTTTGAAGATGGCCTAACTACATACCAAAGTAACCAAAGCTTCTGTAAGTCTTCAGTTAAGCAGGCCCCAAAATTTGGAGTCCAGTCCTGATCCCATTAATGCAATAAAATAATATATACCAGTATTAAAAATGCCCCCTTCAAAGAAGGGAGGGCATATTTTCTTGCTGCTGTCTGTCTGTCCACTTAGTTCCCATTCATTTTCTTGGCAACCGTTGCACATACTAAAATGAAATTTGGTATACAGATATATCACATGAATATCTAGGTCAATTTTAAGTTTTGTTTTGGGTACAATTGCACCATTTTTGACAGAGTTATACCCCTTGGACTTAGAAAAATTTCAATTATTTGCAGTTTCCATTCATTTTCTTTGCAACCGTTGCACATACTGAAATCAAATTTGGTATACAGATATATCACGTTAACATCTAAGTCAACTTCTGTTTTGGGTATGCATGATCACACCATTTTTGACAGAGGTATGCCTCTTGGAGTTTGAAAAATTCCAATTATTTGCAGTGTCCGTTCATTTTCTTTTCACCGGTTGCACATACTGAGATGGAATTTAATATACAGATTTATCAGATGAATATCTATGTCAAGTTCTGTTTTGGGTATAATTGTGCCATTTTTGACAGAATTATGCCCCTTGGACTTCCAATTTGGGGGGAGGGGGGCATAAGTATTTTACAAACATCTCTTATTATGTGACAATTTATATAAATTAAGCCAATACACTGTATAAGGTCTTTTTAATTCCACATTTTTAAAATTTACAGATTTCTTAAAAAGTACCAATAGTTTTAAGTTCCGCTGCAAGAAATTAATTTAATGCTTCTTAAAAGCATTCAAACATCATAAAAAACTAATGCTAGCATTCATGATGAGTTAAATTTTATGAAAAAAAAAAATATAAACTATCATGAACATTTGCAAAATCTGCAGTATAACATGAGGAAAACTGGCTGACATTAATAAAAATTAACACTTGATAAAGTTATACAACAGGTACATGTTAAAGCAGGTCAATATGAGCTTCTCAATATTTTTTGGGCTCTGTGATGTTTTGGCAGCTTTGTTATATTTTCAATCATGTCATTATACCCAATTTAGTTTATTAGAACTATAAATTTAGTATTATGATAAAACTAATGATCAACTTGTTTGTAATTTTCATCTTATTATATACAGTTCACATATATGCTCATTTGTAGTGCATTCATGTTATAAATATCATGAATACTCTTAAGTGGGCTACAATGACTCCGGTGGCGCCGGAGGATACCCCTGCCTTTGAGCAGATAATACAATTAATGGATACTTGAACTGACACTTTTTTATTTTCTTTTAAACATCATGTCATATATAGTCTTTCTGACATTGTAATGAAGAATGCATCTATTTTTGGATAAATGCATAAAATTCTTTTGTACTATACGGTATTTCATTTTTTACTTGTTCTATTTATCCAATAATTCATATTCCAATAAATTTAATTATACATTTTCACCCCTTAAATTCAAACTTAATCAATCATGTGCCTTACCTCATCAAAGCAATAGAAATATATACATATATATATATACCGGTATATATATTATATACACGTAATTTTTGATATTTGAAAACGATATTGCTATGATTAAAATCATTGGAATTTACAATTGGTTTACTTACAAAATTCTATTTCATCAATAATAGAATAAATTAGAATCGTTTATAATTAATAAGATCTTTTATGCTACTTGCCAAACAGAAGGATATTCTGTTGGATAATATTTCTTATATTGGAGGTATTCCCCCCATCCCAAAAGGTGTCAGTTTTAATATCCTGCAAATTGGGGGACCCACAGCCTAGAGTTTAACTTGTGATGTGATGTGCCTCTTTGCATGTCCTAATACAGTTTAGGGCATCGCAAGTGAGTTATGGCTACACATGGAGGCTTCTATGCAAAATATCTAATTAAATTCCCTAATTGCTCTACCTAGAAAATGCTAAGACTTGTTTTCTTATACATTCTTGGTACCCACGACATGCAATAGC